TAACATAATCATTGTAAAATGAACAATATAATATTAATAAATTTATATAAATGTATATATAGGGTGTCTCTCTTCTTAATGGTCAAAATCTGAGAGGGGAGGGAATGATTCTAAACCAAATTTCCAATAAAAAAAATTCGTTTGATGCATGGGTCGATTTCGAACGGAAAAATGAGTTAAGAGCAATTTCGCAATTTCGGGATCACGTTTTAATTGAATAATAAGGAATTGTTCAAAAACTATGCAAGATAATTATATTCAAACCACACCATCCTAAAGTAGACAAACAATATTTGAAAAAACAGTAATTAAATTTACAAAGGTTAATGATGAAAGGTCCTTACACGAGCCAGGATATCTATGTATTCCCGATTCGTACGCAGCAAGAGGACATTAGTCTTATTAGACCCCCTGAAAGTCCCTTTTATCATCGACTTTAGTAAATTTAATCTCTGTTTTCTCAAAGATAATTTTGTCTTCTTTACGGTGATCTATTTAGAATTTAACTATCTAGGATAGTTTTTGAGCAATTCCTTCATATTCAATGAAAAACGTTATCAACTTAACACGTTAGCTGCTGAGTATGATATCTTTTTTCCGACGATATCAGTCCCTTGCGACCGACAATACCTTTGAAGTTCCTAACGGCATCGGACGCCGGAGACATGCATTAGTTTCGAAATATACCGCTATTTTTTGACAACAAAGGTGAACTAAATTCCCTATTCAGAGCCTCTATCTGTTGATTGTGTCTTCATTGATGGCCAGCAATCGAAGGAGTATTTATATGACGAGTTTTTTTTTATTTTTCATTATTTCTCTTTATTTCAGTAAACAAGTGTTGTTTTTAGGGACGCAAATCTTAAATTAAACTCCAATAAATCCCACCAAATTACCTTTACCCTTCGTCGTAAACCAACGACTTCCTGTCCTACAGTTTCCTTTAACAATACTCCACTTATCCCTGTTGAGCAAATCCGATACCTAGGACTCCACCTGGACAAACGACTAACTTGGAATCCTCATACTAGACTGAAACGACAAGAAACCGCTGGACGTTTCCGATTACTTCAGCACTTACTAGACAAACGCTCTAAACTTCCCATTAATTACAAAAGACTCATTCATATACTTGACTATAATAAGACCTATTTGGACTTACGGAGTTGAGCTATGGGGCTCCACTAAACCATCGAATTCCTCTCGCATCCAATCCTTACAATCCAAAATCCTTCGTAAAGTCCTCAATGCTCCTTACTTTGTCACTAATAAAATTATCCATAAAGATCTTAATGTTCCTTATGTTTCAGATCTGGCCCAATCCAAATACCTATCCTTCCATAATAAACTTCAGAATCATCCCAACCCTCTCGTTTCGAACCTTGCTTCCTCTTCAATTCCTGATAACCCTCCGAGGCGTCTGAAAAGAAGATGGCCCCGTGATCTCCTAATGTAGTCATATCATTAGAGTGCTACCATTGGGTAGTTACTCAGCAAGTGTATTCATGTCATTATATCAATTATGTCCAAATTTACTTGATGTATTTATGTAATATAGTTGTAAATGTCATAAAGAAATAAAAAAAAAAATCTTAAATATTGAAAAATTACTTTATTTTTTTTTTAGTATTGAAATGTACAACTGTATTAAATGATAAATACAAGCAAATATGAAATATGTAACATGACATGTACAACATGAACAGAAACTACCCATTGGTAGCACTCCAATTATATTTCTATATTAGAAGGTCCCGAGGCCATCTTCTTTTTAGAGGGAGGGTTATCAGGAATAGAAGAGGAAGCAAGGTTGAAAACAAGAGGGTTCGGATGGTTCAGAAGTTTGTTATGGAAGAATAGATATCTGGATTGAGCTAAATCGGAAACATATGCTACATAAAGGTCGTGATGGATGATTTTATTTGTGACAAAGTTGGGAGCATTGAGGATTTTACGAAGGATTTTGGATTGGATACGAGAGGAATTTAATGGTGTATTGAAAAATGAGAAAAAGTTTAGTTTACTTACACATAATTATAATTTTCAAGATATAATTTATACATTAATTATACGTATATTATTTATTTATTTATACATATTAAAGAAGCAAAGGGAAGCAGTCTAAGATGAGCTCTCAGGAGCTACCACGCGACAGAAGCCCGAATGTGCACTGTCACGGCAGGAATATGTATCGGACCTCGAGGAGAGAGGGAGGGAGGGAGGGAGAGAAGGGTGATACTGCAATAATTTTTTTTTTCAGTATGGTACGGTATCGGTCTCCGGCGTCCGAAAACCTTTTATCAGAGATAATGATTATTTAAGTTCGTATCTTTACATCCATCCAACTCCCATTCAGTTATTTTTAAAAATTACCATTTTAGAGACTTCATAAGACAGACAAAATTCGAAACAATTTGTGTTGCCCAAAATCGGTCTTGGTCTTGCACTTTGCACTGTTGCAAGACCAAGACTAGGATTGGTAAAAAAAAATCGATTTTTTAAATAAAAATTAAGACAAAATAGTTACTAATACTTGACAATCTTAGTTACTATATGTAAATAATTGGTATAAGAAATATTCTTTTGCATTTAACTCCTTTAATTTTTCATTCCGGCTTAGTTAGGTTTCTTCTATCTAAAAAAATACAGTAATATCTCTATAGTAATAAGCTAATAAGTAGCTGCAAGACTGTTGTGAGACTCTTGCGTAAGACTAAGACTGAGTTTGTAAGACCAAGACTCGTCTCGGTCTCGCATTTGGTAACACAAGAAACAATCTCGGCCGTTTGGTAGTCGAAGCGAATATCGGACCCAGGGGACCATAACCGCAGCTAACTTGTTAAGAAAGAAACAAAATTGATCTTAACTTTTTTTCCGTTAGGAATCGGACTACTATATGCACCAAATGAACTATTTTGTTGGATCACCTCCCAAAGTTTGGCCATTAAGGACTTTCTTTATGTAGTTTTTTTACGTACGGATATATTTGAAAATATTTTATCTAAGCAATCTGATGTATTACCTCTTTCCTTAAAGCTTTGAGGCAGTGAGATGAACTCTTAATATTTCAAATTTGCCGCGGGGAACGTGATACAATCTTCACGTAAAAATAGAAGAGTGCACATGAATGAATGATAAAATCCTTGCATATGAAATGAAATGAAATGAAAAAATAATTTTATTCTGGGACTACTGTCCCCTAAGAATAATAACAGAGTTACAAATTTATGTATCTTAGTCTGACATAATAAAAATACCTACTAATTTATTGTTAATTGTTATTTCAATTGTGCAATGGATTGAAAATAAACATTGTATAGATGCAAGTAATTTTACATGTTAGGGGAAGTTTGAATGTGGAGTAGGTGTTGGAACAGGAGTTGTTTGAAGGAATTTGTGGATGAGGATTGACGCATGGGGGTAGGAAGTGAGTTCCATAAGGAAGCAGCACGAATGACGAAGGATTTGCTGAAGGAGGAAGTTTTATGGGAGGGAATGTATAAGTCTATAGGTTGAGACCTAGCATTGAGAGAGTGGATAGAGGAGCGTAGAGTAAGGAGTTCCAGGATTTAGGGAGGGTTTTTAGTTCTGAAGACTTTGAAAAGAAAAACGCCAAGAAGGAATTGTCGTCGGGAAGTAGGATAAAGCCACTTCAACTCAGTGTACCATATGTACCATAAATATACCATATGTTGCTACATATCATCAGAACTCGGAGACAGACTGAAAAGAATTATGAATGGCTTAGTAAGATTTGTCAATGGAACCCGGAGACATTCTCGTGTTTTCTACTAATACGCCGAGTTAGGGTGGCTCTTTCCCTTCTTCAGAAGACAATATTTCCTAGGTATGAATTCATTCATAGGTAAAATTCCTTTACCAAATAATCTATAATCTTCGTTCGTCCTACGCATACTATCTCCTTCAATTCAAGTCATCTATCCACTCCCTCCCCACAAGATCTCGTCCTTCCTACCTTTGTAACCCTTTCCACAAATCGGCCTCATTTCAACATTCTTTTATTGTCCGCTGTACCACCTTTTGGAAGTCCATCCTACTTAAAATCCGCCATTCACCTTCCTTATCCATATTTAAAACCCTCTTATTCCAATTCCTCCTTACAATTCAATCAGACGCTGGGTAGCCATTTATCATGTATAGTATATATGTATATAATCTCGTCTATATGTATATTCTCTTTCATTTTCACCAATCAATCTACATCTTAAGATTTAGATTATATAGGACTTGTATAATGTTTACAATACTATTATTGTATTCTTTGAACATATTAAAGTTCATATGTAAATCATTTAAAGTAAATATTTATCCACTCTTTTATTATTATTTTTTTCATTAATACAATGGTATGACAACAAAAATAAGTTGTCATTCATTCCAAATCTCACTTCAAATTCCATTTTTTTCATTCCAAGTTTATTGTTTTTAGTAACTATCTTGCAGTATTAGGACCTTATTGCTCATATTATGTCTTTAATATATCAGTATAGTTTTGTAAATCCTTCTATTATTACTTATTTTTAGTTGTTTTTTTTTATGTGCTTTTTTTATTGTAATACACATTTAAGCCAGATGTTATGTTAATTTTTAAGATCAATATTGTTATTCATAAGGGACTTTGTCCCAGAATAAAGTTAATTCTTCTATTCTATTCTATAATTATTTTTAAAATTTCCATAAGAGGAACATGGGGCGTGGTAAAATACTTGGTGCCTACTTCTAGGCCTTAGCTTAACCGTCTTGTGGACTTTTTCTATTTCCTTAATTGATATTATTTTACATATTTTATTCATTCATGTAGATTAATTGTTATTTATTTTTGTTCTTTGAAATATTTGGGGGGGAGAGGGGATGGCGAAACAATATTTTCGCTCGTCTCGTCTTCTTGTTGGGGAGGGAGGAAAGGGAGGGGGGGCGATTACCCCTTCCTCCCAAAGTCTGCTCCTGTGAGATAATATATTTAAAAGAAAAAGATAAAATAATAACTCAGGAGTTTGACAATTTATTTTATTTAAAAAATATTTATAAATTATATTCTGATATATCTCTGCTTTTCCGATATTAATTTAGTTTGTACTGTTTTTAATTACATACTTTACAAGAATAATAAATACGTAAACTATTTATAAGTTACTTTTTTATAATAATTAGAGAATTATATATATCACAAATGAAAATACGAGTAATCTAAATACAAATTTAAATTTATTACTATCACATTAGCTTTCTGCAACAGACAGAAATTATTGTCAGACAATTAATTTAATTAACTGACGGATCTAATTCTTCTGCGTTAATTCAGTCAGTCTAAGATTCTTTGAGTTTCACCATGCGTGCTTCCTTAATTTGGTTTAATTTTCTTCCAAAATACGATCTTATATCTGATAACAGAAAAAAATATATAGTTGATTAAAAATAAATTACTTTAAAATTCGAAAAACAAAACAATGAATCTAGAATTTTTCTTAATAAAATAATTAAAGTTTTCTGGCAATTTCTTCCAAAGAATTTTTTTATAGGCTGAAGTTGGAAGAAAAATTAGAAAGGACAAAAAGGTAACTCTTGGAAGAAATATATAAAAAATAAGAATTAAAACTAAATTAATAAGACCCATTATAATTTAATTTTATGAAATTATTAACATCCACCTGATCTTATAGATATGGTATCCTGAATATTTTCTATATGTTCTACTTTATTTATTGCATCCTCCCATGTTCTACTGCTAAGCTCATATCTTTTGTTTTAGTTTTTGGAATGAGTTACTTTAGCTGAAGCAATGTAGTCCAGAGATGCCCATCCCTCCTCCCCTCCCCCAAGCTCAATGGCACAAGAACCTAGATACCCTCCTCCATCCCCTCTCAACATATTTTATTGCTTACCTTTTCTTAAAAACAGAAGAAGCTAAGGCAGAACTAGAAAAATCTAAGATCATATACAGCTACACTTGCTGCGGTCTTTTTCATGTTTTTATCTTATCCCTTAGTCCAAAATTCATAGCCCCTTGAAATTTGGACCCCTAAAAAATTCAAAAACCCGTCAAAATATGTCCCCCTTATAAATTTTGATAGTGCAATTTGCGCCATGAAACTCCCCTCTGGACTCCCCTCCCTGGTCCAAGTTTTGACCATGATTAAGAAATACCATCATTTTAAACTTTACTAATATTTTGGTTTATTATTTTCAATACTGAACCGTTGTAATCGAACGGAAAATTAAAAAAACATAATTCTTCCTAAAATTTGAGGTTTCGCGTTTCAGAATACGTAGAACTCGAAAATCGAATAAATAAAATTGTGTACACGGCTTTTCACCGAGACTACTAGACCGATTGATTTTCAAATTTGGAATTACAGCCAGAAGTCACCAAACGATGATCCTCTTACCTCAACATTACTATCCGCCCTTTCCTTTCAAGATGGCGGCCGAAAAACCTATGTTTATATAGACTGTAGCACTTATACGAACTTACCGATTCCTATGAAACTTGGCTAAAGACTTCTTCTCAACGCCCATTAAATATATGTATAGAACATACTTCATCGAAAAGTACTTTCCTTTCAAGATAGCGCCCGAAAGATCTGTGTTTTATAGACTAGCGCCTGAACCAATTTACCCATTTCTATGAAACTTGGCTAAAGTCTTCCCCTAGATGCCCTTAAAATTTATTTATGTAACAGACTTCAATGAAAAGAAACTGAAAAAAAAAAAAGTTACGAAGGGTGATATAATTAAATTTCCAAATAACTCGAAAGTATAAACTTGTTTTGTTGATGTTATAATGGTTATTTAAAAGTTTACTTAATTTCCTAAAAAAAAAATTGAAATCGGACAATTTGGTGTAAAGAACCTAAAATCCTAAATATTTTCCATATGTTCTACTGCTAAGCTCATATCTTTTGTTTTGGTTTTTGTTTTTCGAATGAGTTACTTTAAATGAAGCAATGTAGCCCAGGGGTGGTCATCCCCCCCTCCCACAAGAACTTAAACCAGGTAGTTCAAGAGCACAAGAACCTACCTGTCACCCTCCCTCTCCTCCCAACATATTTTATTGCTTACCTTTTCTTAAAAACAGAAGAAGCTAAGGTAGAATTAGAAAAATTGTAGATCATATACAATTACACTTTCTGCAGTCTGTTCTATGTTTCTCCCTTGTTCTTTAATTGTCCTTTAGTCCGAAAATTCGTAACCCCTTCGAAATTTATTCCCCTCGAAAATTCAAAAGCCCATCAAAATACGTTCCACCCCAAAAAAAAAATTTGATGGCGCAGCTTGGGCCATAAAACCCCCTTCTGGACACCTCTGATGTAGTCTATTTCTCTTAGCAGCTTTTACTAATTATGATTAAAAAATATTGTTTGGGCCAATATTAGGAATCACCTTTTATTTATTTATTTTCCTTTATGTGACAAGGAAAGTAAAGTTAATTTTGATCTATAACTATTTGGAAATAATAAACCATTGTGTAATAATTTGCAGTGTTTTTTTTTTTTTTTTTTTATGTATCACTGTAAAAACCACTTAATAATAAAGATACTACTAAAAACATTGTATTACTTCTCGCTCATGCAAATTTCTACATGAATTTGTATCTGTTGGATAATAAATAAGGTAATTAGGGAATTTGAAAGATGTTATTTACTGAGATTTACTGACTCGTCTAATACCTAACACTTATTCTAATTATTATGGATAGTAAAATTAAGAAAAAAAATAAAATAAAACCTACCTTTTATTCTTTCGTGTACATAATATCCCAGGAAAAAACAAATAAATGGACCTATAAACGTGCAGGTTAATACCCATGTGGTATGGAATGTACTCAATGAATCAAATACGGGATAAACCCATTCTCCTTTGAATTTACGGACTGCGAAAAATCTGTAATAAACGTATTATATTCAATTTTTATGTTTATAAAACAATATTTAAATTTATTTCAAGAAATTAAAGTATTCTATTATAGTAAAACCAAGAAATGTTGACCAGTCATGGTGGGGATTGTGATCAGACATTTGTTTTCCTAGATTCACTAACTGTTAATAGAGGACTACTTTTATCTGTACTTGCTTCTTATCTTAGAGAATCTAATAATGTAAAGTTTCTTGGAGGCTGTAAGTGGGCTGTACTCATTGAAGAAGTGTATCTGGGATAGAATATAATCACATTTTACTCAATATAGAAGAAAAGTTAAGAATAAGTCTTGTATATGGAGAGAACATGCCACAGTGGCAAAATCTTCCCTTCAACTTGTCAACACTTTTCAGTTATTTTCTATATAAAGTTTTTGTAAAACTAGAGACTTACACTAGTGAATAAACAACCATGAACACTGTTAGCGATGTGAAAGTCTTCAATTTCGGCGGTTCAGTTATGATATCAGTAAACATATAGAGCATAGAAACAAGTACTGGAAACGTATGCATCATATGATTCAAAAATGTAGGGAAAACATCATCCATTATTTTCGGGTAAATGAGTTCCCTATTCCAAAAGTAAAATCCCCAAAACAAGATCATAACAACCTGTTAAAAAAAAAAGAAGAAGTAAATAAAAGTATTCAATAATAAAAAATCCCTTAATTCTACATAGAGTAGTTATGAATAAATTTATATCAACTTATATCCTATATTCTATACAACTTATATTCTATATTTACAACATAAAAGTGAAGTAATAAGTTTATGAAAATATTGATTAAAAAAAGATAAATAAAAGTACCCAATCAAGTAATTACTACATTAAAAATATGATGTAACAAAAATTTATAACAAAAATAAAACAATTGGATCATTCCTAATTATTGAAAAATAAAATTGGAGTTTGGTTCATATCTTTGTAGGTATCGCATTTACAAGTTGTTTCTAATTTTTCATTTTATTTTTCAACAATTACATGTATAAGTACATACAATATAATATGCATATATATATATATATATATGTATATATATATATATGCATATTATATTGTATGTACTTATACATGTAATTATATATATATATATGTATATATATATATATATATATATCTTTGTCAAGCTATTTATGTATATTATCATTACTACGCATTTACAGGAAAATAAAATAGAATCTATGTATTTTCATTCTTTAACATTACATATGGAATTGATAAGATAAAAAAGCGCATATTTAAATTAAATCTGAGAACTCTACATACAGAATCAAATAAGGAAACACCAATACCAATATGTTTTAAATTAAGAAATGAGGATTTTATCGACATAATGTTGTGTTTAAATAAAAAAGAAAATGATTGTTGCTAAATTTCAACATTCACAACAGGTAAGTGAAAAGTTCAAATCCAAAAGATACATCATGATTTTTTAAAATGTAAGCTCCTCTAAATCTAGTTCCAAGTTATGATATAATAAAATTTTGTATTTTGCCCCTTCTCTCAAGAGATTGAAGAGACGTCTGTTTAGTCAAATACCTTATATCATTCAATCAATATGTGAAAAGAAATTTTCACTAATGGCAATATCACAATTTCAATCAATCAAAAAATTTAAATATATCTTACCACTGACAATGGGAAGACAAGAGAGAAAAGCATATGACTTGCTACATTCTTCAAAGTATTTTTAATTTTCTGAGCCTTTAGCGACTGTTTTCCATAGATTCTAATTAAATCTATAGCTGTGTATGTTCCAAAGCAAATGACTTCAGCACCCTGATAACAATAAATATCCATTATTATGGCGGGAGTTAAAAGTATCTAATTTGAAATATTAAATTCTACTTACCACTACCCATAAACTGAAAAAATATGCCACGTTTCTGTAGCCTTGCATTAAGAATTTATTGTCCAAAAAGTTAACTTTTGAGATCACTATGTATATCGGAGAGCTTAGTAAAGAGACGAGCATCGTCAACGATATCGTAGTATGTATGCAGAAAATAAATATCCATGGTGGTATGTTCAGTAATTCTAAAAATAAATTTTTTTATAAACAATTTTGCTATTTACATCTTGTTCTTTGATATGCTATATCATTTTCAGGGGTGAGATTAATTAAATGTGTAAAATAAAATTGATTTAAATTAGTATTATAACATAACTTTAATATAAAAGTTGTCTTAATGAACGAAAATGTTGCTTTTCAACATTAAATTAAACATCCAATTCTAATATATTATGTTATAATAAATTATTTTTTTTATTATTATGCTAAGTTACTTACTTGTGATGATTAGGTCTCTTTGAATAGTCTTAACACCCATTGGTATCAACTGAACCGCACTGGTAAAGACTGATCTAACCCCTAACATTACCCCCTCCAGTATCATCAAGATTGGGTTGTTTCCTAATTGACTTTTGATAATCATCTCATATAAGTAAATTAAATAAAAATGTGATTACTCACTCTTATTATTAATTAAATAAATGGAAATCAATGGTTGAAGAAATGTTTATTCAGTGATTTTTTATTTAGAAATTTTTCTTATTTTTTTAATAGTTATATTTATGCCTATATGATATGTAACATTAATAAGCATATAGGAAAAGTAATATAGTAGTCATAAAATTATAAATGTTTAATAATAGTAAAATGTTTATTATTACCTTAAGCATATAAAACAGTTTAAATGACAGAAATCCACTACTTTTGTAATTGGGTAATTTAATTTTCCAAAAATTACACACAAGAGAAATAAATTAAAAACAATGAATACTGTTGAAATATAGAATAGAAAATAATTTTATAATCTTGTTCAAAGTGATAAGACACGTTTTAACTGACAAAATGTCAATTAAATAAAAATTAAAAGTATTATTTTAAAATTTATATATTAAAATATTTAACGATTGTCAAGAGTTTACTCTGATTTTTTTTTGGCAATGTAATTCCTAAGGTTGCATGAACTATGCACTGAAGGTAATTGGTCAAAATGTTGTTTAGTGAAGTGTTTACACAAAAAATAATCCATAATGCCCTCAACAATATTTAGTTATACTGTAATATAAAAACAAGTTGTTTCAAATTTGTTCAAATTGTTTTCAAAATTGATTGGATAAGTACATTTAAAAATGCAATTGGGATTATCTGTCATCAGAAGTAGCAAAGTAAGCAAAACATCTTCAAATAAATAAATTAAGATTACCTGTAACATTTTATTAAAAGTTTCTTTTATTTAAAATTTAAAAACTCCTTGGGATTTCTCTTTGTATAATTTATTCACTAACAAATAAATAAGCCACCTTATAATATTAATACCAGTCTCCAATTATTTAAATTAATATCTTGGCAATATTTCTAATAAACATCAGTTTTATCTGAATTTTATAACAAAAAATTAAATTTAAAAAAAAAAGTTAGAAACGCGTGTCTATCAAAATTATCAAAACAAGGCTAATCTAGAAAATATGAAATTCGAGATATGGGATTATATAATCTCTAAACGAACAAAAAATTTTGCTAGTTGCATTAATTAAAGTAATTTGCAAAAATGTATAAATATTTACAGTAGTTATGTATGTGAGTATAAATATATGTAATTTGATAAGTTTTCAACATATCTTTAAAATCTGAAATACGTTATCGAAAAATTTCAATCTATTGTATCAGAAGAATATTTTTTTCTTATAAATATTATATATTTTTTATTAACTACAAAGGTCTATATATTCTAAAATAAAATTGGATGTGATGTACAATACAATTTATTAATATATTTGAATAGCAATAAGTTAGTAGTATAAACAACAATTTTGTAGAACTTGGCCCACTTTATTGTAAACCGTTTATACAACCAAGATACATTTAATCCGTCATGATCAAATTCATATTCAAGAGCCACTTTGTCATTCATTTGGTTGTCCTCTCAAGGCAATTACCAATTTGGTGAATACTATTACAGGAGACGTCTAGAGATGGAAATTATTTTATAGACTGTTTGTGTACCCACAACCTACAGCTAATAAAAAATGGTAATCCAAATAAAAACATGGAATTGATAAGCTGTGGAAACTTGAAAAAAAAAATGCTTTCTTCAAGGTTTTACCTCCTTAATAGATAGAACTACTTTTGCTCAAATAAAAAATAAAAAACAAATTATTTGCTTATAAAAAATGTGTGCTAGCAGGGATGGGTTGGGACTTATTCATCCCATTGTTTGCAGTGGGACAAAAAAATTTACAAATTGCACATACGGGTCCAGGATTTAATTTGGGGGGGAGGGCAACAGCCCAAAAACTTTTTTTCATATAAATATAATAATTACTTTGAAAAAAAAGGAACTATGAAATGGTGTATTAGTGATTTTTAAAATCATAGTAAATGTAATTACATGCAATGCGATATACAATCAGATTGCATAAAAAAAATGTGCAACGCTATGTACTTAGCAAGATAGGCCAAAAATATTTTTCTTTTCTTTATAACTATTTTTCCTGAATTTTCTCGGAAATTTAGTATATGTATGAAAATGACATTAATTAGAAAATTATAGGAAAGTTTCATCAAAATGGTTAGTCGTTTTTTTTTTTTTTACAGTCTATAGAAAAATATATTTTTCACTTATTGCACAGCTATTGTGCATGGAGCACCCAATTTGCGTCACAGGCATCAGTAGTCAAAACCCTACAAAATAAGAAAAGAAGCAACAAAATCGGTTCACTACTTCTTGAGATAATCTTGGCACAGACAGACAGATCAATGGTATGTGTTTTTCGTTTCAGGGAGCTCTTTAACGTTCCGTAGAAAACTGCACATCGGAAATTTGATCCGATTGCAATAATGTCCTTACCTATTATAGGTAGGAAAGTAAAAAAGGTTAGGTAAGAATATTCAAGACCCTGTAAAAATATGCCCCATCAAACATTTTTGTGTCTTTTGGTGCATTCTTGCATAATCTGCCTCAATATCAAAGACGATGCTTCGATATTATTATTTTTATGCCAAACAATGAGACAGTTTAATTCATATTATGTTTTTTGCAAACCTATATTTCATACAAAATTATGTTTTAAATGTTCTTTAGTATAATGGGTAATTAAATAATTTTCTAATTATATAAAATGATTATTAATAAATTAATTTCAATACTAAAACTTCCTTAAAGTATCGAAAAAGTATGTTTCATTTAGATATATCTCATAAATAACATACTAGAACAGAAATTCATTATTTTTTGTGATTAAGGTGACACTACTAAGATTTCAGCCTCCTAACTGAACCTATTAAGTTTTTACTAAATATTCTTCAGATGCATAGATTTTGCAAAAGTTATCATTCTAGGGACACTGTCGCAATAAAACTTGTTTTTTCCCTTGTTAAACCCCCAACCGAATGATTGAGTCAGATGTCTTTAAATTTTAAAAATATATTTCACCTTTAAAAATAATAATCAAGAGATTGGAAGGCAATAGGGTGCTTATTACTGATGGTTATTATTATTAATTCTTGTTTAAAGGTAATTTGGTTTTTAATCTGTTTTTGATAAGTTTGACACAAACATCTATGAAACCAACTGATCTCAAACGTTTCAGAAATAAATTTTTTTACAGATTTATTCATTAGTCCACAATAATCCAATAATCCTTTTCTTAAGATATCTGTGCCTAATTTTCAATTCGTAGGATGAGATGAGGTTAAGTTTTTTAGAACAAATTATTCAAAAAAATTGTATTTACAAATTTACAAAATGTATTATAAAAAATAATAATTATATTATTAAAGAATCATGAGCTTATATCATTCAACACAGAGCTCTTGATTGACTTAATAACTATTTCAATAGTAATCTTATACTGATAGTTGGGGTTCAATAAAAATGAATGACCTTTTATTAGTATCACATAATTTCCACTAAATGTTTTGACAAATATTTCCAAAATTGCAATACCTTTTTGTTTTAAGAATTTAAAATCAGTACAATTGTGAATATTGTTATTGACAAAGTATATTGAGGTTTCAATTTTAATAAAATAAATTACAAATATTCCATCAGGTTTTCTATCACCACTAACTATTACTGGTGTAGACAGCAATAATGTACATCTTGTTTCAACATGTCCAACAGAACACTCAGACATCAGCTGACTGATAATTTTGGAATGTAGAATATAAAAAAAAAAGTCAAATGATAAATAAAACTACATGCTATTGAAATAAACAAAAACTATATTACAACAGGTTATTAAACCACTAATGTACAAACGGTATGATAACCATATTTAAAAATTTATGGTGTGGTACGATTTTTAATTGTAAAAGTACATAAATGTTTACATCAGGGTTTTAATTGAGTAAAAAAATATATATACATAAGAAGGCAAAAGAATCTACTCTTTGAAACAAAGTAGGTATTTCAACAAATAATTGGCAGTTCACTTCAATATTAATATAAAATTTACATTTTTTGGAGAACTACAAAATACTAACTGTTACAAAAATAGACTACCTGAAATATCTATTCCAGAATTAAGGGTCTTTAGGAAATTTCACTATTCATTTTTTCTTTTTAATAAAATTTTAAATATAACATTCTTTGATGAAACTTTAAAAAATACATCTTTATATTAACCTAATATATATATTGAATACATATATATATATTCAAAAGAATAATAAAGAAAGAGTGTTCAGTCATTCAAATATATATCAGAACAGTTCTTTATAAATGTTTGTTAAAATTTTAAATTACTGCTTTTTCTGTCTCAGTGCAGACATTTTTTCCATTTCCTTCAATTTCGAATCAATAGATGAACGTATACCTGAAATACATAACATATAAGAGTAATAGTATTTTATAAAAATATACATTAAATAATACTAATTCCAACATTTGATGTTTTTGATTCAAGGTGAGAATGTAATTTGTAAATTGTTCATCAGACATTCAAAAATATAAAAAAAAAAAAGTGTTCTTTAAATGAACTTGAATTACAATAGCTGAAACAAACCAAAACCTTTTATTGTTTTATTTCTTTATTTACACCATCTTACTTAACTCAAAATGAACAGAAGAACCTATTCTTCTTCATCAGAGGAATTACCGATGTTGAATTGAAAACAAGAAAAAAAGTAATATGAATTCAAGAAGAATGAATTGGAAAAATTACAGAATACAAACTCTTGGTCGGTAGTTTTAATATTGGAGGTGTGCCTCAACTTGTACACATTATCTATCATCATACTATTCCATGAATGATACCTTACGACATTCTGCTTGACCGAGCCTTAAATGCATTATTTTTACATAAACAAACTTCAATAACAAAGTTCTTTTTAACTTTTGATTTTTTAAAAATCTTTTGTTGCATATATTGTGTATGTATGTTTATAATTTCATTTTAGATTATTTAAATGTAATTAAAAGTTATTATTACTAAATGCTTGTTTTAGCTCTGGAGATGGAATGAAATCTTGGAAACATTGCCAGAAACATCTGAATAAAGGTAAACCATTTATTTTAATTTTTTTTTATTTTACAAAATTATCTATTAAGAGTTTTGAGTATCTTAAATACCAGTAAATAACCTACGAGTCAAACCAGTCTTATCAATTCCGGAACTATCAGGACAGAAAGTACAAGAACACATATTAGCAGACAAAATACAGTATGTCTCAGAAGATTTTAGTCTTTTATATTATTATAATAATAATAATAAGGCTTAGCGAACCCGAAGGTTCGATGCCGACACCACCAATCGCTTGTTACATACCTCCCTCCATCGTTCGCCGTCCAAACCCAGTCCCTTCAGATCGGCTTTAATGCAATCTTCCCACCTTCGCTTCGGTCTACCCCTCGGACGCTTGCCATTCGGCACAGCAAATATTAACCTTTTAGGAATTCTCTCGTTACCAAGCCAAACAACTTTACAAGCCCATTTGATTCGTCGCGATGAAATTACCTCAATTATATTACCCGGATACAGCTCACGCAATTCGGCGTTGTGTAACCGTCTGAACTCTCCGGTTAACTCATCCTTCTTCGGTCCGAATATTCTACGCAATACTTTATTTTCAAAAACCTTAAGACGCTGCTCATCCCTTAATGTAAGCGGCCAAGTTTCGCATCCATAAAGAACTGTAGGTAAGATAATTGTTTTATAGATTCTAATTTTTAAGTTTCGGGACAAGAGGCGCGAACTGAGTAGTTTTGTCACAGAAAAATAACAAGCATTCCCCGCCTTCAGTCTAACCTTAATCTCTTCTTCAATTTCGTTTTTTCTAGTTATCGTAGAACCTAGATACCTAAATTTATCTACCTGTTCAAACATATTACCATCTATATCGATATCACCAGTAGTATCGCCCTTTTTGCAGCTAACCATATATTTTGTTTTATCCACGTTTATTTCGAGTCCTAGTTCTTTACCGGCTTTCATTAACGTTGTCGTATTTAGTTTTATAGTTTCAACGTCTTCGCTTAACAGTACCAGATCATCAGCATAGCCCAGCACGGATGTTGTCCCGCCCAGATCCAACCCTTTCTCGGTTCGCATTACCTCCCTAATGGCATGTTCTAATGCCAAATTGAACAGGACAGGCGAAAGAGAATCCCCCTGTTTTAAGCCCGAACGAACCTCAAATTTTTCGGACAAATTATTACCGATTCTAACTTTATTGAGTGTCTCCGTCAAGCACATCCTGACTAGATTTACTAGTTTTTTTGGAATCCCCTGCTCGATTAGAATATTATACAGTTTCTGGCGGTCAATAGAATCGTAAGCCTTTTTAAAATCTATATACAGCTGGTGAACAATACCGTTATACTCCAATTTTTTCTCTAATATTTGCCGTAAAGAAAATATTTGATCAATAGTCGAACGATTCCGTCTAAATCCGCATTGGTAGTCTCCGATAATTTCCTCGGCGTATTCCGTGATTCGACTGGTTAAGATTGAAGTGAATATTTTATAACATACTGGAAGGAGTGAAATTCCTCGATAGTTATTACAATCCGTCCTCGGACCCTTTTTGTGAATCGGAATAAGAATAGATTCTTTCCATTCTTCAGGTAATTTCTCGTTCACCCAGATCTTTTTAACCAACCTATGTATTTTAGAAACTCCAGCTTCCCCGCATGCCTTAATTAGTTCAGTAGGAATATTATCGATTCCCGCTGCTTTATATGATTTTAATTTTCCGATAGCTATTTCAACTTCCTCTTTACTTGGTCCTTCTATTAACGGTTCAGCACTCTGGTACTCAGAAGGAGGACACAGATCATAATTTCCCGTATTTAAAATATTGTCAAAGTGGTCCTTAAACTTATTCAATATGTCAGCCGGATCGGTCAGAATATTGTTATTATCATCCCTAATTCCAGACGTTACGGGCCCTACATATTTACGTGATCTGTTTATACCTTTGTACATGTCTCTTACGTTATTTTCGATTCTATTAGTTTCTATTTCAATTATTTTATTTTTAAGATACTCCCTTTTTTTATTTTTGAGCAATTTTGTCGTTTCGTACTTTGAGATTCGGAAGTATTCCAGATTGTCTTCGCTAGGATTATTTAGAGCTTTTAATTTAGCGGCTTTTCTTTTTTCACACATTTTAAAGCAATCTTCATCAAACCACGATTTGTTATTCTTATTTTCCTTTTTTCCTAGACACGAGTTACCGACCGCTTTAATATTATCCCTGATCTCTATCCATAACTTGTCAATATCCTCGTGGTCCTCGTCAGGAAGCTCTAAAGCTTCAAACCTATTCTTAACATCTAGCTCAAATTGGTTTCTAATTGATGGATTTTTTAATTTTTCCAAATTAAAATTATCAAATTCGAAACGGTTTTCTTTTCTCTTTTTTATATTAAGTTTTTGTCGAAGTTTCGCGATTACTAATTCATGATCCGACCCACATTCTGCTCCGCGATAAGACCGTACATTGATTATACTGCTTTGCCAGCTGTGTTGTATCAAGACATGATCGATTTGATTTCGTGTTTGCGAATCCGGCGATGTCCAAGTATATTTATGAATATCCTTACGTTTAAACGTCGTACTTTTAATTACCAGGTTTTTCGAGATGGCAAAGTTTATCAGACGGATCCCATTATCATTACTATATTCGTGCAAACTTTCTTTACCAATTGTCTGAATATAAACTTCTTCCCTTCCTACCTTTGCGTTCGCGTCACCTACAATTATTTTCATGTAGTTTCGCGGTAGTTTATCATAAACCCATTCGAGTTTATCGTAAAATTCACTTTTGACTTCATCGTCACTGTCTTCGGTCGGACAATGTATGTTTATTAATGCGATTTTAAACCAACGTCCCTGAAATGTAGCTACCGAAATTCTGTCACTAAAGAATTGTACGTCCCTCAAAGCGGATAGTAATTTATATTATTATATTTTCAGTAAATTATTTCTTCTTGTTAGTAATAATTATAACAAATTTATTTTATTATATTTTATTCTTATTCATTGAGAAATGTATCAGCTGATTCTGAAGTTACAGTAAAATCCCTGTAAACCAGCCAGATCGAGATTGGGGCCCTGCTGTTTTTTTTTTTTTTTGACCAAGTAATCCGAAGTATCGTACAAGTGAAATCTGTGATCTTATTTTAAAAATTCTGTACCACTAAAATCTATGAAGGGTCTTGGGTTCAGTACTGTTTAGGGAAAGTATTGTTTCTTTGTCAACAGGTTGTGCAAGGAGGTGATTTGACTGATATCACGCTCAACCGCCAGATTTTCCCCTCAATTAATTATTTAATTAAGAGTACCCCCTTTATAGAGGCTAGGTATGCCCTAGGAGGGTCTCTCAACCCAGGGTCACCCAGCTGATGAAACAGAGTAAATAATTTGTCATGTCATTAGGAACAATTGTCATGAGCGGGGATTTGAATCTGGACATTCATCATTGGATGATCAGTGCCCTACCACTAAGCTACCCCACTCCCTTCATTTATATTATAAAAAAATAACTTTTTCATGGATGTTGGAGATGGATAATGAAGAACTATTTTTGTATTGTATAAAATTAAAATTTTATATAAATAGAAATATTCTTGATAACATATTCAAAATAATTATTATGTTGCCTATATTAAAATAATTTTCTTTAAAGATAAGTCAAAAACCCAAAACATCAAACTAAAGGAATAAAAAATAAAAAGAATTACTGATGAAAGAGGTGCCTTTCAATTTTTTTTTATATATATTTTTTCCGTAATGCCCTATGTAAGGTCCATTCTTCCCGTAAACCATGACTCATCATGTATTCCTCCTCTTCGTTATCCTAGGTCTTCCTCTTCTTCTTCCTCTAGTTTTCCATAAGTGAACTTCTTTGGGTAGTCTTTCTTCAGGCATTCTTTTCAAATGTCCATACCACTTCGGGCATTTTTCTTAATCTCTTCCAGAATGGTTCTTTTAGCCTCCATATTTTTCACTTTATCCACTCTGGATATTACCACAGCTCGTCTCCAGTATTCCATTTCTGTGGCTAGGGGCTTCTTCCTGAGGTTGCTTTTAAGGTCCAAGTTTCTGACCCATATATCATAATGCTCAGTACTATACTATTATAGATTTTTTTTTTTGTTTTGAGGATAATGTTCCGATTCAATAATACCGAGCTGAGCATTGATGTGGTCTTTTTGCCATCTGAAATTTTTCTTTTTATTTACACATCTATTTCAAGTATAAAATCTAAAATATTGATTTTATTTAATAAATGTACTATATACCTTTTAGTATGTTGAATAAATAATAACCAAGGAAATGGCAAACTATTGAAGCTATCAAAGTGAAAGCTGCAATCCCTTGAACTTGTGAAAAGGTCAAAAATTCAAAAACTGGATAGACCCATACTCCTTTCGTTCTACGAATACTAAAGATACTGTAACATAAACATTGTCAATTAGTTTTTAAAGAAAAATATAGAAAAAAGGGAAAAGAAATGAGACCAAACTTATTTTTTATTATATGTATTTTAAAGGAATGTACATGCATGATATTGAATTCATATATCTTTGTGTTAATAAATACATATTATTAGCAATCAAATGAAGGATTAGAATGAAATTCAGTTTGGTTTTTTTAATTCAGAAAATAAATGTTTTGTAAATGTACTTTTATATATTTAAGATATATATCATTTAATTATTTGTAATTTTATTAGGTTTAAGGTGAAAAGTTTTTTAATAATTCAAATAATTTGGCCAGTTATTTTTCCACCATTTATTTATTCATCTAACAATATCCACCTACAGTGGCTCAAAGTGAAATCAATACACTCCATACCAGAAACTACTCAACTGATTTATTTATAATTTCAATTTAAATATGTACAAACTCAATACAATTAAAATATTCAACTTTGATCGTTTAAAAAAATTAACAAAACAAACTGGATAATTTTACCTCACAGTCAAAATGATGCACCTCACTTCTTATTAACTTTTAAATATTATTAATTTAGTTCAATATCTTGTAGGCAAGCCATTATTTTCTACCAATTCTTTCAATCTGTTTTGGAGTCAACTAATGCTTTGGTGAATTTTGGGCTTAGGAGATATTTTTTTAAGCCTTCATTGCTAGAAATTTTGTGTTTTATATTTTCTACCTATTATTTTGCCCACAGGTGTTCTATCACATACAAATCTTATAACTGTGGCAGAGTTTTTATAACTTTAGGATAGTCATAAAGTAGCCATTTCTTAACTAACATAGCAGAGTGTTTGGGATCATTATCCTGATAAAAAACTAAATTTTGTTCTGTAGCCCCAGATTTTTGGCACTTCCAAGTTTCTTCTCAAAATGTCTATATAAAGGAGGTAAAATAAAAAATAGAAATCTGAACATTTCCTACATCAGAAGCTCCCGTACCAGGAAGAAAAGAACATAAAACATAATATAACTTAAGAACAAGAAAAAGAACATAAAAATAGAATATGCTACTAGGATGTTTATTGATTAAAATAAGTTACTGCTTTCAATGTAATATAAATTGAACTATTTATTTATTCAATAATTTCTATCAATATCCAGGTCTATTATTTTTTATAGGTGTGATGGCCGAGCGGGCTATCGCGTGTGCACAGCACCCCATGTTGCCTGGCAACCCGGACAGAAGATAATGCGATAAAATAATACCGCGTTCACCTCCCGGTGGCAAGAAGGCTTTTAGCTCTAGAATTAATTTCCTGCCCTAACACCCTGGTCTAAGAAACCCCTGTATAGCAAGCCTAAAAGACGAAGAAAGGGAGGACAAAAAAAAAAGTGGTATAAGATTGACTGTGAGCCACTTTATATGGCAACGTTTCCTCTGTAACACCATTTCCGTGGGAACATTGCCATGTAGGTGCAGATTGTTGAATGAATAAATATATGGCGAAAAAATAACAGCACAAATTATTTAAATCATTAAGTTACATTTACAAAACATTCGCTTTTTTAACAAAAATGACTTACTCTAGTTTCATTATAATGGCGTAAAGTATTTGATAATTGTAGTATTTCTGATCTGATAAGTGTTAAAAAATAAATTTATGGGAAAATAAAAATGATAAATTTTTAATGGAAATACATTACAAAAAAAAATATCCTCGGTTTATTACAAAACGTCATTAAATAACATTCCATGAAAGTAAATTACTAAGTGACGTAATAAATTTTCCCTCAGTGAAATCAGAACAATGTATACTTAGTGTAACTATATTTGCTATATAAAAGGGCTTGTATAATTTTGCTTGCATGTTTTTTGTACTGATAAATAATGTTAAAGTTCACAAAAACATACTTAAATGTCTAGCTTCATTAAACATGTACTTAGTGACTTTTTATAATAAACCAACATAACATAATATCAGTTAAAATATCGAGATATAGAATATTACTTTGAGGGAAGTGGACTGTGAATGGTGAGGGGAGTGATCACCCACATCTTGATAATAAAACAGAGGGTGCGAAAATATCGTTTCTTCTCCTCAATAATTTGAAGAAATTTGAAAAAAATATTTAAATAAAATTAATACCAATAACAAAAAACTAATCTACAAAAATAAATAAAATTTGTAAACTAAAATCAATTAGGAAATTAGGCTAAGACCTTGAAATAGGTACATAGGTATTTCACTGCTCCTAAATGATACTTAGAACATTTTTCCTTCAATCAGACCTCAGTATTTAGAATAATTTGTACTTGCATTCGTAAAAAAAAAAAAAAAAATTATAATAAATTCAATTACAAATATATATACAAATTTATTTTTAAATACACAGTATTATATTCATCTATAATACCAACATTTTATATTAATTACGTTTATTTTCACTCATAATTTTAATTTATATATAAACTCGGTAGATTTTTTTAGGTCCATCACCCCTCCCCCAATCAAAATGCAAAGTCTGGGCCTATGTATAGAGGAGCTTTCTTTACAGTTATGCTTAGCATACATCATTAACATCACATTTAAGCACAGAATGTGAAAATAGCTGATTTTCAAGCCAATATAAGAGATTTCACGTTTTACTTTTAAGTTCCTCTTTGGGAACATCTTTTCTATTTCTGTCCCTTTTCACTTCTATGAGTATTAGATTTCAGATTAACTAAAATGCTTGTGGTAAATTTATAAATGCAATCAATTCGAAAAATATGAATTTTTCACATTCCTTACTTAATCGTGGTGAGGATGTTATGAATTATCGTACTTACAGTTGGTTGTATACAATCAGTAAAAAGATCAAAGGTGGCAAAGTTTTGTACTTATTGGGTTCTTTCCTCACGTGAGTGAACATGTAAAGTATAATCGCTGGCAGAGGGTAAGTGTGCATCATGTGGTTTAAGTAGTCCGGAAACATGTCCAGTTGTTTAGGATACATGTGTTCTTTATCCCAATAGTACAATGCCCAAAATAAAAACGAAGTAACCTGGAAGAATAAAATATTTGAAATATATACTTGTCATTATAACTACTTTATTAGAAATATTTTAAAGGATAATTATTTGATATATAAAAGTGTTTTCTTTATTTGCCATTAATTGTGGAATATATATATTTGTTAGTGCTTTTTCATGTTGGATCATTTCTATATTTTTCTACATATCTGAAGGTGAATTTAGACATTTCACAAACTATAGGAATTACAATTTAAAATAACAGCTACATTATTGCTAAACCAAACTATTTATTTTATTTCTCTTGATACCGACAGAAGATGGAATATATCAAAAACAAGAAATAAAAATACTAGCATAATGAAATAACCACTTATACATTTTTTTGTCCCATAGTTTGTGAAATGTCTAAATGCACCTCGAAACTTTCAATTTGACATTATAACAGTTTGGTGATCAGGTCCTTTTTTTTTGATTTTCGAAAGGAAAATCTTATGTCGAATAGTTGGCCCAGTGAGAGATGGAGATGGATGGAGGAGTAGGAGGAACAGGGAGCTTTATGACCTTTACGGAGATATGGACGTTGTAAAGTTTATAAAACTGGGGAGGCTTAGTAGGGCTGGTCATGTCACAAGGATGAAAGTGGAAGAAATTCCTAGAAAAGTAGAGGACACCGCCCTTCACGGTACACGACGGCCTGGTAGGCCAAGGCTTCGATGGGTTGATGGAGTGGCAGTAGACGCATGGAGTCTGCTACGGATCAGAGGCTGGAGAGTGGCAGCACAAAATCGGGCCCAATGTCGGCGGCTCATTGAGGAGGCCAAGACCCACCCAGGGTTGTAGCGCCACGTAGATAGATGGTGATCAGGTCCATCATATCATATTCAGCAACATCAGAACCTCTATTTCAACTATTATTTATTTATTATTGAGAACATGCATAAAACATTAATAGAATAAAACATTAAGTGCCAAATAAATATAGAAATATTTACTCGTAGGAAATGAGAAAAGAAAATGAGGGCTGTATTAAAAATGAAGAATGAAATGATAGAATTGAGTTCTGAGATGATCTTTATTTTTTCTAAGGATCAGGAAATAATAATTCTTTAAAATAAGTATTGATCAATTCTTTGTATAACAAAGCAACATTGTTGGAAAGCTTATTTAGGAGGCTAGGAAAAGCACAGCAATAAAATGTTTTTGTGGATGATATACTATATTAGCAAGAGATCAGTCAATACAGTAATATAAAATTGAAACATTTTTTTTTTTTTATTGCACCACTGGGCTTGAGCAATCTTCAACAATTAATCCAGTAAAAGTCTAATATTAAAAAAAATTGTCACTTACAGCTGTCAAAGGAAAAACTAAAGAAAACAGGAAATAATCAGCTACATTGTAGAGTATTTTTCTTATCTTCAGAGCTCGTTCAGATTTTTTCGCACAAATGGCAATTATATCTATTAATGAGTAAGTTCCAAAATATATTATGTGAGAAAACTGGAATAAAAACAAAAATTAATAGTGGAGTAGAAACATTTTAACTCAGAATTTAACAAAAAATTAACTCACTGTTGCCCATACACTGAGTAGAAATTCTTTATTCTCAAATCCTTGCTTGAAATATATGTCCCTAGAAAAATCTATATCTGTAGTTAATATTATAAATGAAAAAATGCAGAGACTCCATAGGGCAATTAAGAGCACTGCTATATGCAAGTAAAGCAGTAATGTTCGAGGACCCACACTTTGATATTCTGTAAAAAATAAATAAAAAAGAAGTATTATTCATATATTAGAAGAGTTTGTGGAAGGAAATAAAAATTAATGAAAAAAGATCAAGATTATAAACTAATAATTTCTATATCGCTGCTAAATTTCGAAAAAGGCATGTTGGTAATTGTTGAGTGTGTAATTTATAATAGTAAGATATAAAGCCTTAAAAAATATTTGCCAACTAATAAAAGTTGATTAATATTACTACCAGACGTCATTAAGTAATAATCATTTAAAAAAAAGTAATGAATATGTTTTTTAAATAATTTGAAGGATTTAAAAAATACTTAGTTTGACCATAACGAAATATACATCAAAACATAACTTTATTTTGTATTCATACATGTATACAGTTACAGTATATATATATATATATACTTCCGGCATATTCATAAATACTAAATAAAAAAAATCATTATTAACATTTCATCTTTTTCTTAACTCTCTATAGTACAGAGCTACATGTACTCAAATTAATAAAAAAATACTGTAACATTTCATGAGGTTATATGAAGTATGAAAATTGCATTGAAAAAAAATATATATATAAATCAGTAAATATGAGGTTGAAACAATTAGTTCCATTGTTAGCTGTCACAAAAAAAATTAATATATTCCTTGTCCCAATTAAATAATAAATATAATAAATATATCTAAAAAACAACAAGGAAAACGAAATATTCAAATGCTATTTTTATCGGGGAAAACAAAGTATAAAATTACAGTGATCAGATTGATATTCATTTACTGTAAAATTCAATTTTCTTGCATAAAAAAATTAGTAGTTTTGTACTCATTAAAAATACTAAATACTAATAGAACCTATTAAAAAATATTTTAACCAAATACACATTTTTAATTTTCTTAATAAAACACCAGCAAAATAAAAGATTTATTTAACCATGATAAAGTTAAATCGTGCATTATATTAAAGAATTATTACACTATTACATAAAAAAAAAAAAATCATATGAACATGTTATTCTATAAGCTATGTCGTAGTGTACCGTAAAAATGTACATTGGGACGTATGTAACACTTATTAAACTTAAAACTTGAAAGCTTTTGCACTCTACATTTCGGTCACTAGATATCAACCTTTTATTTTTCCGATTTTGAAGAGTGCCATAAAAGCAAACTAAGACTTCACTGATTTTTTTTAATGCCGTTTTTCAAGTAGGATGTATGAGATACACTGTCCTATAAAGAGTTAAGCCAGAAAATTAAATAGAAAATCTTAAGTTCATAAAAAAAAAAAAAAAATGATCTGATTATTTCTAGTTTTCGCAGTTAAAGGTTTTTGCTACATGGCAATTTACATTTTACATATGGCTTGCAAAAATAAAAACAAATTTAGTTGAGTAACAATTTCAATAAAAAATAAGTAATATTGTTGCAATTCGTTTCAAGTACAAAATGATACAAAAATAGAATCACTATTTGTATAATATGTAAGAACCCATATAATAATAATATTTATTATAATCACACCTCGTAATCTTCTAATTTAAATACAATGGAAATTAATTTTGATATTTTAATATTCAAAATAAAACCAACACTTTATTCATTACTTAAAATCATTGGATGTATGGGAAAGTAGAAAAACTGAAAAGTTGTATTATGTCAAAGTCTTAAATTTTTTTTTCAGTCCGGTGCCAAAAACATTATAAATTGTTTCTGAAACTAAATTCTTATAGATACTTATTAAACTATGAAATAAACTTCTAGAAAAATTATGAAATATGGCCATAAATAAATGACAACATTAAAAGTTTTTCTCGGTTTTCTGAAAAGTTGATGTTTTGTAGTTTACATAATTTGTCATTGACTCGGTAGTATCTACCAGCATATATTTACGGCAATAAATAAATAAATTATACTTACTTGAGATAACTGTATCCCAAAAAGAAATTTTAAGAGACATAGTTATTCCCTTAATATCTTCAATAGTTATGAGGTTATAATAAGATGTCAGACTTCTTAGTACAAGTATTTATTATTATATCTTCTTTTTTCTTCATGTTGCTGTTATAATAAGTATTATTAAATAATATCTGCATTAAAATATTAAATAAATGCATATATATATATATATATATATATATATATATATATATATATATATATATATATATATATAAATTAATGATATAACCATATATATAATTATTAAATTTATAATCAAACCCATATTTGAATCAAATCTTATTGTTTATTTATATAGTTAAATTATTATAATTATCAATGTACTGAAATATATTAAAAAATAATCATTAAAACTTACCCATGGATTACAGTTCGGTTCAGGGATAAGGGAACTGCTAGAGGTGTGAGCATTAACATAATTTTATGTGAATAGAGTACATCATATAATGTTCTTTTGATTCTTCACTCAAGGACGATGTAATTAATTTGTGTAATACAATTATAAATGTAAAGCTATTAACAACCAATAATCTTTTTAGTTTTATTGCTAGTATTCACTAATCTTCATCTGCTGAATTGTTTGTCCTTCCTGGTTGCACATAAGTGGTTTATCAGTGTTTTATCTAAAAGAGATTTAAATTATTTATAGATCATAGATTTATCTAGAACATTTTTTTTTTTTTTTTATATATTTTACAATTTATCTCAAAGGACATTTATAATATTGTTCAGAGATCACATTCACACTATATGTAAATAAAAATAAATTATACAAAAAAATAATATATATACAATAAATAAGAATAAAATAACCTAAAAATAAATAAATAAAAAAGAACACATACATATCTATATACATTATTTACAATCAGGCAAGAGAAATCCGAGCCAGACTTGTCCCTACAAATGTGGAGGAAAAAGCATGACTCCAGGAGATCTCTGCCCTTTTCTCTCAACTGCGTCACTGGGGCTAAGCCCAGTGGAGATTGAGCGAGATTGCTTTAGCCACATACACTTATGTCGTGAGTGGAGAATCTGGCCATTGCCAGAACTCCAATATTTACAACCTTCTTGGAAGATTATAGGGATGGGTGGTGCTTGATAGGGATTGTACAAAGGGATTCGGATGATAGGTAAGGTTCTGGTGAAATTTGGAGAATTTTATTGGGATAAGATCTAGGACAAATGGGATATTAAGGTCATGGTGTAGGGTTTTGTTGGTTACATAGAAAGGAGCATCTACTATTGTTCGAAGGACATTGGACTGGAAGGATTGAATACGTTTGACATAGAAATTTTTGCTGTTACCCACATTTCAAGTCCTTAAGTCCAAGTAGGTTTCAGTATTGTCTTGTAGATAAATATTTTATTTTCAATATAAAGTTTAGATTTTCTATTTAGTAGTCTGTATAGTTGGCCATATCGTCGGTTAAGTTCATGTCTTTTAAGTCTAGTAGGAGGGTTGCATGTTAGTCATCTGTCTAAGAGATAGCCAAGATACCAGACTGTATCTGAGAAAAAGGAAGCTGGATATAATTAAAGTTTACTGGTGGACAGGAACTGCATTGGTAGGTAAGGCAATGCGTTGGCATTTGGATTCATTTATTCATAAATGTAATTACTTTGTTTATGACCAAACTTAAGCTTTCATTAAAAATTGAATTAATTAAGTAAAAGGTACTTTTTTATCTTGATTACTAATGTATTTTATTCTGATTTTTTAAAAAGTATATTTTCTGTTTAGATATGCTGTGGTTATAACAAAGGCCAATGAATTCCTCTAAAAACGTCCTTAACATAACATGAAAATGTACACCATGGAATTATTTTATTTTCATCACTTAGAATGTTAGACTCCACCTCTCTGAGCAAGTTAGATCATTGTACTTTGCCACTAGTCCCAGCTTCATAATGATGCCCTTCCTAACAATTATTGAAGTTATTCTTATTAAATAACTTTATAAAATCTCCTTTAAACTATCTGAGAAACAATCAAAAAAGTTTCTTTGCAATTAAAGCTACTAATATGATTTTTAAATAAATAAAAGTAATCATTTAGATGAGGTAGTTATTCATAGAGTATTGAATGCATCGGTGTTTATCCGAAATACTGTTTTCGGCTATTTCATGAACAAGTGTGATCGAAGTGATTGTGAACCACGCTTAACCCATATGGTCCTCATCCAAATAATTACCTTAATACATACTACCATTTTAATCAATCTATTGTAAATGTACCCACTCATTATATTATGTATAATTATAAATTAACTATACATGATGAAATTATTTTATTTTCATGTAAAACCACTATTTTGAGCTTTAATCTGCCTATCTATGCAAGATTGCAACATTGTACTTAGCCCTCAATGTTGTCCCGACTCCGTACCAATGTACTTCGCAACAGTTATTGCTTGCAGAAGAAGTTAATTTCATCTCCCAATGAATAAAGATTTTGAGATAGAACAGAACGCAGAGTTTTCTTTGCAATTTACAATAAGGTATTAATAATGATTTAAAATAAATATTGTGGCCTGTTAAATTAATGTATTATCAATGTTTACACACACATGTACATAAATGGTCAAAAATTATACTATGACGTATTAGAGTATAAATAAAATTCATTACACTTTTTAATGTAGACTAATAGTCCGAGAACCTGTGTTCTCTAAGAGGAAAAAATTCATAGAATAAAAGTTGTTGAGTATCAAATTCCGCATTCTATGTAGAGATTTTAAAACACTTCTTACAGAGCACTGAAACTGTTACTTTGCTTATTTATGTATGAAATATATACTATAAGGGAAAGTATTGCGATCGTGAAGAAATTACGAATCCTTGTTTTCAATGGAAATACGTTTCGAGGTTCACCGAGTCTAAATAACAAATATTCCCAAAATGGTATGTGTGTGTGTTTATGTGAACAGACTAGCTTAAAAACGAAAAGTGAATAGCTATTTTTCGCTGTAATAAATTGACTGAAAACACTAACGGATTCAGGATTTAATTTTTTTTGGGGAGAGGGGGGCATCAGCCCGAAATATTTTTTTTTTTGTATCTATATATTACGGTAATTACTTCGGAAGAAAGAAACAAACTAAGTACCTTCATGAAATGGTGTTTAAGTGATTCTTTAAATCCTATTAAATGTAATTAGACGAACAGAATAATACTTTTAGAGGTATTTTTTTTTCATAAAACATGATTATATTTTGTCATTTGGGGAGGGGGCGAGGGAAGGACTTTAGCTCGAAAGTAATTAAAAATTGCTTTACTTTAAACTAGACAAAATTTATTTCTAATGAAAATTTATCATAGTCAAAATCATTGAAAGGGAACGCTTGTTTATTTTAAGTAATTAACCGTCTTTCATTATTAAGACTTACGAAAAAATGCTAAATATAATTTTTGAAAGAACTTGATAATTTGAAAATGGAGAAAAAAAAAAGGAAAAATGCTTATTTAGATAGGAAATGAATTACCGGAAATAATAGTCAGAAGGTATTCGTATAATATATTACTGGAAAGCAGATAATTTTAGGGAAAAAAAAAACAATATCTAATATAGAAAGTCGTATAAAATAATGGAGAGTGACAAAAAATTATAAATAATAATTTGTGAAAACTAATATTATTTTTTTATGTATATATTATGGTAATTACTTCGGAAGAAAGAAAGAAACTAAGTACCTTTATGAAATGGTGTTTAAGTGATTCTTTAAATGCTATCAAATGTAATTAGACGAACAGAGTAATACTTTTAGAGGTAATTTTTTTTCATAAAACATGGTTATATTTTGTCATTTGGGGAGAGGGAGGGGAGCTTCAGCCCGAAAACCTTAACTTTGCCACTCTGCTTCCATTTACAAATACCCTTATTTGTATTATAACGTATTTGAAATGACGCAAAGTATAAATTTAACAGATTCATTGAGTGGGAAAACATGTCAATTAATTGCTTTAAATGAACGTGTCATACCATCTATAATTTTTCGTTCACTTCTCTATATATGAAAATACCTAATTTTACTCCAAGTATGGTGGTAATTTTAACATACTATACACATGATTTTTACCATATTTAGAATCTATTTAAAGATCTTTGTATTGAGTATTTGACTTTGGAAAGTATTTTAATTTCTTGAAATGATCATTATTTTATATGTTAAAAAAATATTAACAGATTTTTTAAAAATATTAACTAATTAATCGAAAATGAAAAAAGATTAATAAGTACACAGTGTGTCCCGTAAGTTAGAGAGAATCTTTATAGGTTATCAGATCTCAAAAGCAACAAAAAAGTTCATATATACAATCGCCCAATTTTCAGCAGAATAGTAAAAAATACAAGTTTTGTGTTTTTTTAAGCAAGTCGTGCTTTTTGTTGAAAATAAAACGATAACTAATGATATATTTAATTTAAATAATTAATAATTGCTTCGCTGTAAACTAGACAAAATTTATTTTTAATGAAAATCGAATTTGTCATATTTAAAATTATTTAAAGGGAACTTTTGAGCAGCAAAGCTAAGCTAAATTCTTTTTTTAAAAAAACATAAATTATTCGCGATTTTTTTTATCGTCTTTCAAGTGCACTATAGATACCCCAATTTCAGAAAAAACTTCCTCATTTAATAAGCTGTAAGTCCTTATTAAGGTGACTCTCAAGTTTTTGCTTAGTAAACCTCAACTTAATTAATAAAAACTTAAAGCTTATCAAACGAGGAAGTTTTTTTGAAAATAGATTATCTGTAGTATAGTTGAATGATGATAAAAAAAATATATAAAAAAAGCGAATAATTTGTGACTTATTTAAAAACAGAGCTTAGCTTAGTTCAGACGCTCAAAATTCCTCTTTAAATGGTTTTGACTATGACAAACTCTATTTCCATTACAAGTAAATTTCGTCTAGTTTTCAGCGAAGCTATTATTAATTACTTAAATTATATATATCATTAGTTATCGCGTCATATTCAACAAAAATCATGACTTGCTTAAAAAAAACATAAAACTTGTATTTTTAACTTTTCTCCTAAAAATTGGACAAATGTTTATATGAACTTTCTTGTAGCTTTTAAGTTCTGATATCATTCTGAGGCATTTTGTATACTAATCAAAACAACAAAACATGAGTAGCGTTTGATATTTTTTTAAATAAAAAGATAATTTCTCCCAATTCCACCTTCAAGGATATTTTTTGACCGAATTCCTTTCATAGGTTGTTGAGAATTTGAAAGTTATAAATACACTTGAGTCGGGGAAAATCGAAGAGTGATTAGGATGAACGCACCAGTTATGGACAGGTTGGACTTTATATGTAAATAATAAGCTTCCTTCTTGATTTAAAAGTTCCAGTTTTTCTAGATTGAAGATCAATGCCCTCTATTGACAAGTCTAAAAAAAAAGTTCCCAAAAGAAAATTTTAAAATGCCTATCATTATTGTTTCTATAGTGCTCTTGAGATCAGTGTGTTTCATACCTTCCTACTAACAGTTTTGCTAAGAGTAAGTTGAACATCTTATCTTGATTGTTATCTATAGTTAAATAAAGTTCATAGAATTTTTATGAGGTACATCCATTACTGGTACCGACCCCCTGCCCGTTACTAGAACAAATGAATTTCGGGGTGTCCATTCCATTACTAGTGCAAAAAGTTGTTGTTTTTTTAAACAGAGATTATACCTGTGTAAATGAATATTTTTTAAATTTTAAAGTATTAAATAGAAAAAGGGAACCCTAGAGTTTCTAAGCGTATAGCGGAGAAGTTTATAACTATAATAATTACTTCGGCATAGCCAAAAAAATCAAATATTTCCTAAGCTATGTCCATCACGGGTGATCTTGCCCTAATACCTTCGGAACTCATCACATAAAAAATAAAATATGACTAATTTACAGAAGCTGGATGTGCCACGAAATGATCTGCCGATCCTCAAAGAATGGTTAGAATGTACAAAAAAAATTAATTAATTCTAGTCAATCCATTTTTTTGTATCAACCAGACTTAATGCCGCCCGGACTGTTTATTTTAAAACATATCTAACGCTACTCATGTTTTGTTATTTTGATTAATATGCATGGTGACCCGTTAGCAGATGGAAATCCTTATAAGAGTGATATCAGACCTTAAGAGCAACAAATATAGTTTCTATAAACATTTGTCAAATGAAGCGATAATTAATGATAAATTTAATTTAAGTAATTAACAATAGCTTCACTGAAAACTAGACGACATTTACTTGTAATGAAAATAGAGTTTGTCATAGTCTAAACCATTCAAAGAGGAATTTTGAGCATCTAAACTAAGTTCTGTTTTTAAAGAAGTCACAAATTATTCGTATTTTTTTTGTTTTGTTTTTTTTATCATCATTCAACTATACTACAGATACCCCATTTTCAGAAAAACTTCCTCTTTTAATAAGCTGTAAGTTATTATTAATTAAGTTGAGGTTTACTAAGCAAAAACTTGAGAGTCACCTTAATAAGGACTTACAGCTTATTAAATCAGGAAGTTTTTCTGAAATCGGGGTATCTGTAATGCACTTGAAAGACGATAAAAAAAAATTGGGAATAATTTATGATTTTTTTTTTTGTAAAAAGACTTAATATAAATAAAATAAAATTGAATATATTCTAAATACACCTTCCTTTATTATTTAATTTGCTCATATTACATTTTTTCATATTGATAAAATTAATAAAATCAAACGAGATTTAAATCATTCATAACACTGTTATTGATATATTTTTAATTGGATAGTTAACACTTACCTCGTTTATATCGCCAATACAGCCAAAGAAAAAAAAAAGTTAATATTCAACTGATTTATTCACCATTAAAAGTTTCTCTGGACTGATCCGACACGAGCTAAATTTTCTGTGAAAGCTGACTCAAGTACAATAACAGCACTATTTACTTCCTCGGAGAAATCTGCCTGGCCATGCAATGCAAGGTCAGTATTTTCTTCGCCAGTCTCGTTTTTTTAAATATTTGTTCTTATCATCTTTAAACGGATAGATTACTATTAAACCAATAAGAACTTGTTGATAACGTTAATTGTTTACAAATTGCTCTTTTTTTTTTCTTATCAAATACAACATCGTCGGGTCTATTTTTTTTTATCGTGAACCTTGGCCGGAATGCAATTCTGAACCACGCGTGTTTTTAATATGCAAGACAGTTTATTAAATGTTCAAATACCTAAAACCAATGGGACTCTAATAAGGAGAATCAAGATCTTGTATCCTAAATTTTAAAAATTGGAAATGACAAAAAAGGTTTAAAAAAATCGCTATAAAATATTAGAAGAAATATAATTATTCCTATTCCTTCCTTACTTCTTATCCACAAGCAGTGTTGTTCATATCAGATTTTTTCATAAAAAGCGCCCACAAAACATATTAGTTGTCCCTGATATCGATTAAATCTGAAAAGTTACTAAAAGTCGAAACCCGGTGGCGCAATCACAAATCCGACAGTATTTTATTAAAAAGAATCCCCCAAAACATAATAGTCGACCCTGATATCGATTAACTCCGAATAGTTACAATAAGTCTATGCCCGGGGGCGCAATCTCAAACCCCACAGTATTTTCATTGAAAGCGTCCCCCAAAAACGTAATAGTCGGTCCTTGATATAGATTAAATCCGAAAAGTTACAAAAAGTCGATGCCCGGGGGCGCAATCTCAAATCCCACAGTATTTTCATAAAAATCGCTCGTAATAAGAATCCCCCAAAACATAATAGTCGACCCTGATATCGATTAACTCCGAATAGTTACAATAAGTCTATGCCCGGGGGCGCAATCTCAAACCCCACAGTATTTTCATTGAAAGCGTCCCCCAAAAACGTAATAGTGGGTCCTTGATTTCGATTTAATTCGAAAAGTTGCAAGAAGTCGATGTCCGGAGGTGCAATCTCAAATCCGACTGTATTTTATTAAAAAGCTTCCCCCAAAACATTATAATCGACCCTGATATCGATTAAATCCGAATAGTTACAAAAAGTCTATACCCTGGGGCGCAATCTCAAATCCCACAGTATTTTCATAAAAATCGCTCTGAAAATGTAATAGTCGGTCCTTGACATTGATTATATTCGAAAAGTTACAAAAGGTCGATGCCCAAGGGTATTATATTAATATATGAAGTCCCCCCCTAAAAAAAAAAGCATTGGACCATTTTCATTACCATAAACAAAAATATATATGTGTATTTATTTAATGATTTTCGTAAGTATAAAACGTTGGGTAAAGCTTCCAAAAAAATATTTTATTATATAAAATAAAAACAATTTTTTTAAATTACTCATGTCGTAAAAATGTTTCATGAGTGATTTACTCATGGAGATAAAATGTTTCATGACTAATTTTCAAATTTACTCATGGCTAAGCTTCTAAGAGTGATCACTCGTGACATCACTGCACATTTACTCCAGTAATTGTCCAACACTATCCATAGGTCCATTTTTAGTATATTAATTAATTTTTTTGCTCGACAAGTACCTTTAACTTGGTTTATTTTAAATAATTAACCATCTCTCATTTTGAGTTTTAAGAGAATTGGAAAACGAAGAAAAAAGGAAAAATGTTTATTTAGATCAAAAATGAACCTTCGGAAATACTAGTCAAAAGGTACACGTATAATATAGCGCTGGAAAGCGGAAAATTTTAGAAAAAAAAAACAATATCTAATATAGAACGTCGTAGAAAGTAATGGAGAGTGACGAAAAATTATAAATAATAATTTGTGAAAACTAATATTATTTAAATTTACTAAACTATTGTTAATTACTTAAATTAAATATATCATGTAACGTTTTAATAAATATAGAACGTAAACGTTTTTTAATTTTGAAAAAAGTATTTAAAATCCACCTAATCAAGGCTAAAAAACTATTTCATAGTACTTATGTGAAAGAAGAAATGAAATATAAACATATTTCATGGATGTATAAAGCATATGATTATAACCTTAAATACATTTACTATATTTCAAATAATCAGGTTCGTTTATTCCGAAAAAATCGTCATGTAACCTTTTAAAAAATTAAATTAGTGAATAATTTGACTAATTTTCCCTTCGTGAAATCCAAGCATTATCCGCTTAAAATTAGTGTTAAAACTTTTGACCTGTTTATGGCTGAAAATGAAAATCTCTTAATTTCTTTGTACTAAACTTTACAATAGAAAATAACAGTTAAATAACAAATAGACAAATCTCTCTGGGCATGCCTTATATACATTGCTCAGAGACTGAAGTTAATGTGTTTTACAAAAACAGTAGGAGTACCGAGATTTTTACTGTCTACCGTTGATATAATCAGTAGGATTTTTGTTATTTTAATAGTGTTGATGATTTGTTAGCTGTATACTTTAAGCTACAGCACCATTTAAAATGCACTTCAAAATTTTTATAATAACCTAACATTGTCAGAAAATAATTTTTATTCACAGTAAAGCGGAAGTGAAAGTTGTGTGTGAAAGTTGTGCGCGCACCAGATTTTTGTTTATGTGATTGATCTAAATAAAATTTTAAACCAACACAATATGTTGTGTTTTTAAATTTTAATGCAAGTGCAGTTGCTGCATATAAGCACTTGTCACGAAATTAATTATAAAATCTGATAAATTATCTCTAAATGCATTATTGTTTTTGTTGTTGCGAATTTTATTTTTATTTTTAAAGAGTTCTTCAAGGACCACTTGACACAATTATTTAATTCAGGCTCTTGATTTCATAAAGGGAGTGTTTGAACTGGATCCTTTATTGACTGAATCACAGGCGAATCTACGGCGGAGGTGAGAGGGTTTTGGGTTGAAACCCCCCAAAATGGTAAAATATAATCATGTTTTATGAAAAAAAAAAAATTATCTCTAAAAGTTTTATTGTTCCTCTAATTACATTTAATATAACTTTAAGAATCACTCAAACACCATTTCATATAGGTAGTTAGTTACTTTCATTTTCTTCCAAATTAATTATAGTAATAAATATATATAAAAAAAAACTGGTGCGCGCATCACACTTCGTTAACTTGCCACCCTCATAGCAGAAATAAGTATCTTCAAATCAAAGGGTATGTGAAACTAAAAATTATAGACGCTATATTTATTTACATTTCATTTTGAGTATTTTTGTTTCTTGTTTTTTTGTTTTTTCCGATGTCTAGGCGCCAAAACTTCCAGGACATCAGCGCCCGGTCAAATAAATAACACTACTTTTATACTGTTTGGGTGGTTGGTACAGAAAAATAAAATAATAGAATAAAATAAATAAGTAAAGATAATAATAGACACTTATAGATAATAAGATAGAATAGATAAATAAACTAAAAAAAATAGCAATAAATGAATTGAAATTAATAAATAAATGAACTTTTAAAATAAAATAAATCTGCAAAATATCATTAGTTATAAACTTGTCATATATGTTTTATAAGTCTTTCATTGTCAAGGAACTTCATAACTTAATGATTTCTTCTTGATTTCCCAGGGATGCTGATATATTCTTTCTTATACTCCCAATTTCTAGGAATTTTCGTAGGACAAGATTTGCTATTCACAAAGTTTTAGACGGATGTTAATAATTTGATAAAAATGGCTCAGTACCACGGACTATTTGTTTTCTCTAAAAAAAAATCTTTACTCTCGATACAGAACCGGTTTGGAAAAAATATTATATGTCGTTGAAAGCTCTAGTATGAGTGTAAAATTAAAAAAACAAATTGGATCAACGGACGTTGCAAGGTGGGGGTAAGGACCTAAGAAGGCCACATATTTGATTTAACTTCCTAATATTTTGAAGCTAAGGTCACTGATAACAGGAACCCAAACCACGGCCAACGAGATAGTAAAGAAAAAAAAACTGAACTGAGAAACTAATTAGGGCTTGATTGGGATTCTAAGGTGCGTTTAGACTAGTGTTGCAAAAAATCGGTCTTGGTCTTGTACTTTGCAAGACCAAGACCGCCTAACTGTTGCAAGACCAATAACAAAGCTGGTAAGAAAAATCGATTTTTTGAATAAAAATCAAGGCAAAATTGTTATTAATACTTGACAATTTTAGTTAATATATGTAAAGAATTGGTATAACCAATATATTTTTGCATTTAACTCTTGTAATTTTTCATTCGGCCTTAGTTAGGTTTCTTCTATCTAAAAAAATACAGTAATATCTCTATAGCAGCAAGCTAATAGGCAACTGCAAGACCAAGCCCAAGAATAAGACTCGTCTAGGTCTCGCATTTGGGCAAGACTAGTTTAGACGTTTCACAAACTATGGGGGAAACAAATATGTAAATGGATATTTCTCTATGCTAATATTTTTGTTTCATGTCGATATCAAGAGAAATGAAATAAATAGTTTGTATTAACAATAATATCGCTGTTTAACTGACAGATAATTGTTAGATAGTTGTTTTTTCCATAGTTTGTGAAATGTCTAAATGCACCTTTAGGTTTTACTTTTGTAAAAAATGGAAAAAAATATATGAAAGCAAGATAAAACTTACAAATGACCTTCATTTGCACTGTCAATTAGCAGATTTAAAATAAAATTCTTTGAAATATATTAGAAAGTAAATTACTTATTTATTGTATACTTCTTTTTTGTTAGGAAGCAGTTTAATTTTCTTTGTAGTTGACAATAAAAACTTCCAAATATATATAACAAATAGTATATTTGCTATAATTCATTTCAAAGTTGACGTTTCAGAAAATTATTCCCATCTGCAGCGTTTGATAAATCCTTTATAATTCAAGCCGTCTCCTTCTGGAATACCATCCCTCCCGATATCCGACATGTACAATCAGTTTCCTCATTTAAATCTCTCCTTTTTAACCACCTACTCCTTTCCCAACCCGATTGATCATGAAATGTAGATAAGAGAACTTTTAAAGTTCCCCCAGAAATGATTTTCTTTACTTATGCTATTTTATTTTATTATATAGTTTGTATTATACATATCAGAATGTTTTTAGTGTAATAGTTATATTTTTTGTTTTGTTATT